GTATGAATGACCATAGCGAAATGTTTTATTCTTGTTTTTCTTTGTCTAAGAAATTTATATTTTCAGGAGTTGCATAAATTCTCACTTTGGAACATAATTTTGTCTTTGGAAAAATTTCATATCAATTTCACTTTCTTTGTCATCTAGTACAGTTTTTAAGTTATGCATCTCAATTGTAAACCGAATTATCCTTGACAAAAGAAGTTGCAAATGATTATTTAGGATTTAAAATATTTCAAAAATTCTCTAAAATATCCATGTAAAACTGGCTCTTAGTAAGAATTTGAATAATTTGTGAATGCTTGAGATAATATTTGTCTATGCCATACCAAAAATAGACACTATAACAAATATTATAAATTATTAAAAACACACATTTTTAGGTTATCAGGTTTATGGGCTAATAGGCCCACAAGTATATACGCAATTACGGCCCATTGTCTCTGTGTGTGAGGGTAGTCGCTGTCACTTTCCCAAATACTAGGTGGGTGGCGCATCGAAGTGGCGCGTGTAATCCACCACCGAGCTCGAGCTCACAATCCATGGCGTCTCCGTCGACTTTCCTGCTTTCGTTCTCCGGTTCTTTCTATGCCAAGCCCCGCCTACTTTCTTCTTCGTCTTCGCTTCCTGTAGCCTATCCCCTTCGCAACAACCCTAACAAAGTAAAGGTGATCGATCAGAGAAATGTTTCTGTTTTGATTTGTGTACTCCATATTATTTGTGCCAACACTTTTGTCTCTCTTCTTCCTTCTGCTCTTAGCTGTGTAGGAAAGCTGAGAAGCGAGTGATTTGCAGAGCGGAGTTTTCACAGGACGCGCCACTCGCGACCGCCATCGGCGCTTGCATCCTGAGTTCGTTTGTTTTTCCGGTGGCGAAGCGAGTCGACGACGACGATGAGGAGGATTCTGCGATTGTTTCTACTGATATGAGATTAGCCGCCATGGGAATCATTAGCTTCATCCCTTACTTCAATTGGCTGGTTTGATTCATTTTCATTTTCCCCAACCTTAATCCATTAAGCAAAAACCCTAATCGAATTTCTCCTGTGATCATCATATCAGAGTTGGGTCTTCGCTTGGCTTGACACTGGAAAGTCGCGTTATGCTGTTTATGCTCTTGTTTATCTTCTTCCCTATTTCAGGTAATCTAGAGATGATTTCCAGATTCAATTGGTTGTTTTCAAATCTGCAGCAAGCAAATTATTTGGTCATTTGATCTTCTCTGTGGTTACTCAAATTGAATGTTGTTCTTGTTCATATTCGGATTTTGCAGCTCGAATCTTTCGATTTCCCCGGAAGATAGCTGGTTACCCCTTACAAGCATAGTTTTGGGCATCATTCATGTTCAGGTTCTGATTCTTCAGTGACTTATAAATCTGCTGCTTCTGAAACTCTGATTGCTGCAGTGTGTTTCTTCATCTTCTTTTTGTTGTTAGCTTGAAGCAAGCATTGCAAATGGTGACATTCAGACGCTTCGGTTCTTCAGAGACACATCTGAAGACTTTTCATCAAAGAAAAGAATCCATTTTGACAAACATCATGGCTACTCCAAGGTAACTACTACTACTACTTCTTGCTTGCTTCTTTATTATCTTGAGTAAAGAAAATTCCCATTTAGTATTGGATTTTTGACCTG